TGTATCCTTCTTCTCAAAGTAAGCAAGTTTAGGGTGTCATTTTGTTTGTGTCAAAGTTTGAAGCGTCCAAATTGTAAGTGTCTTGCAAGAGTCGTTTGTAAGTCTTGTCTAAGTTGTAATAGTTTTTATATTATAAAGTAAAGATGTTGTTTTTAGTTTATTTGTCTTTTTATATGTCTTTATTTTGTAGTTGTCTAGTGTCTTTTTGTGATAAAAAATTTGGGTCCCTCCCCCAAATTTTTGATTGCATCACTTAATTATAATAATTTTAATTAAAATTAAATATAATTAATTATAATAATTAATTAATTAACTAAAATTAATTAAAAACAATTATAATTAAATATATTTATTATAATAAAAATAAATTTTTTACCCCTCGAATTCACGGGATTAGGCCTAAGAAGCGTGCGGTAGGGAGAAAGTTACCTACACAGCCGTGAGCTCCTGTTCTGGTTCCGATCAAAATGTCTGACTTCCGATCGGAGGGGAGGGGAAAGTCGTCAAAGGGAGCGAAGTCGAAGTAGCGATCGAAAGGGAGAAAGTTGTCTTCACAGACGGCGAGCTCCCGAGTTGCTTCCGATCAAACTGTCGTAACTTCCGATCCTACCGGAAGGGAAAGTTGGGGAAGGCGCGAAGTCAAACCAGCAAAGGAGCCGAAGCAGCGACGTTTGCAATCTCTACACTTTCTGCGAAGCTACGAATCCAAACAGCAACGAAGGAGGAGAAGGGGCGAAAGAGAAGAGCGGACGCAAGAGAGGAATCGAGCGCGAGGGAGAGAGAGTCGCGAACGAGAGCCCTTCGTGCTCATTTTAACAACGCGGCAGAGTCGTGGGAGATGGGATGTCGATCGTGCGAGCGACGTGCGTAGGTCGTGGGATGGCAGCGAGGTACGCAAGATTTTTTTTTCTTTTGTTTTCGGTACAGCAGACGGGTCAACAGACATAACCAGTCTTTGGTCTGCCATGGACCTCAAGTGGTGCAACTGAGCTAAAGACTAGAATAATATGCTCAATGACTGCTCTCCTAAGGTGAGGCTTCGAAACATAACCATCAACTAAAGATGACACAACTGGCTGTCGGGCATACTGCTGCCTGTATTTATGTGACGGCTAAATAATTAGTTTGTTGTCTTCGAGATTCTCGTCCTCTCTTAGAATCACATCAACAATACGTTTACAGATTATATTTTTCATATCCTTAATTTCCTCTTCTTTTGTTGAATTTGTTTTCTCAGCTACTCTTTGAAAAACATTCCTAATATCTTTCTCTCACTTCTTTAAGATGTTCTTAGGCGTGTTTTTGGGAACTTTAACTGAAGGCCTTAGAGGTGATTCAGTTATCTTTCTAACATCCCCTCACCCCAAGACATAAAAAAGAGGATTCAATCTACTACCCTCAATGAAAGGAGAGAGATCCATCATTTCAGCCTCCAACTCAACCTGCTCTTGCTTCTCTAACCTCTTCCTAAGTCTCCTATTTTTATTTCTACTCTAAGACATAATCAGATCATATGCAGAACTACTTCCTCGTACTAACTGTAATGAAACACTTTATCACACTCTAGACAACTTCCAAGAACTGAACCGTCTCATATTGTCTCACAACTGACATCTGCTCAAGTAGAACTAGAGGGAAGGCTTTCTATCTTTCATTAGACTTTTGAACCTTAGAGATGTCAAACTATTGAAAATAGAAGGTCGAGAAACCAAGGCTTTTGGGGACACCTCCAACCCTCTTCCTACTATTCTGGGGAGGTGATCTCTCTTTAGCAGGCAAGTTGATCTTTGGGACCCTCTCAGTTGAAGCTTGATTTTCTAACGCTTTCACTTCAGAGAATGTTGGGCCTTGGAAAAGTACGTCCATATTATCAAATCCTTGACCAAACTTGATCAGGTCCCCAAGAGTAAAGCGAGACTGATCAAAAGACAACTACAGGTTTTCACCAAACTTGAAGATTAGTCTACCTTCCATTACTATCCGGCTGAATTCTTGATTATCTAACTTCCAAATTTTCCTGAAAAATCAAAATTTATTGTATCAACTTTTCTGTGTATTTCCTTGAATCCAATTAACACATCACCAATCAATCACTGCACTTTACTTTTGGGCTTTCTGACCACTGACCTCCATAACTGTGCCCCAAGCTTAACAAATAATGACTGAATTTTGATAAATATCTCATACCATTTGACATTATTTGGTAGTAGATTAAACAGTTAAATCTCTTTGAAAATATTTTTTTTAATTAATATAGAAAAAAACTTGATTTCATTTTTTAAAGTAATATTGAAAATTCAATTTGTAAGACAGTTTTTTGTATGTATTGACATCACTCAACCCAAGAATGAAATGGGAGAGGCTTCCAATACAGAAATTAATTTTGCACATGTTTTAGCCAATATTTAAGATGACTAAATAAAACTACTAGTTTAGATTAAAAAAGACATCCTCTCTGGTGCAATCTTCAGAAACTCTGTAGGAGAAATTTTGTCAATCCTCAATGGATTGAGATGTTTTGTGATCGAGCACGGCATAGAAAATAATACATTGTCCTGAAGAACATATTATTTCATTGTAGACTCATAACAAAGCTCACAATTTTTTTTTTTAACATAAGTGCCTCAAAGGGTACATTTAAGCAATGCAAATTGCAAATGAGAAACAAGGTTAAGATGGACACTGCATCAGCATACGCTCAGATAACTACACATATATAAGGTTTTAGAATTACTTACATTTTTGCGTGCATTGCACAGGTAATCTTAACCAATTGAAAAAGAAGATCCAATACAGCACCAAGCAATAGCTACTATAACAAAAAAATTATTGAAATAGAAACAAACGGAGAAGATGACCAGCATACCTGGGTAAGATACCGCATCCTCCTTGCACAAGTTATGGTTTCGCCCAGACCATTTTCCTGAAAGGAAAATAATGTCAGCTTCAAGTATTCTAGATACATGAGTTGTACCTGATAAAATATAATATATGTAAAAATCAAAAAAATTTATCCAGAACCTCTAAAATCCTAATAGACTCCCGCAGAAGTGCCTCAGAATCCTTCTCCTTGCCTTGCAAATAAAGCACCTGAAACACACGCAAGTAATAAAAAAAATGAAAACTGTTAATTTGAGACATTACCACCATAGACTTATTTTTAAGGATGTCCATGGACATGCCCTTTGCATTTCTAACACTGAATCAATGAAAGTGGGTGTTTAGGTCTAACCCACAAGATGTAATGGTATATAAAGGACTTACAAAAGACTAAGAAAGTCATCTCAACTTTTATTCAAATCAGAAAAGTTTTGCAAAATTCTAATGCAAAGTGCGGCAATAGAAGTTGAAATTGTGGGGGAATTTCACATCAAAATTTGTAAAGAAGAGAAGAATCTGGTGTTAAGGATCATATCGTTCTTCAGATGTGCGCTTTAGAAAATTAATTTGCAAAGACCAATATCTCGCAACATAACCAACTTTTTGCAAAATAAACTGCATGCAAAAAGCAAAGGAAAAGATGTGCAACATGTACAATACTTTAGTTGCAAGGGCTATAGACATTTTGATGCCAAGTGTGCAAAATAAATTGCAATTTTCACAAGAAACATGGACAAATTATCAAGGAATGTCATACTTACCTTCAGAATCAACAATCAAATCATACACAAGAAGTTGTTGATATAGCAATTGTGGAAAAATCAGGTCCTATGATTGAAATAGTTCAACAAATGATCATTAAAGTCCCATCAGTGTTAGGGCTACAAGATAAGAATGTTATACCTCCATCTTACATGTTTCTGGGCATCTAATCATATGATTGGTACCTGGCACCTTCTTTACAATATCCAACATATCGTGAACAATCATTTATTTACATTGCTAATGGTAGTCCATTACTTTTTGAAACTACCATGAACATTAATTCTTCGTAAAAGATTTTCTCATATCTCCTAAATTTTCTACTAATCTTATCTCAATAGAAATTTTTATTACTAATAATTGTGATGTATTCCGCTCAAGAAAAATAGGCGCAAACCTCACTCTCACAAGCTTAAAGGTCCTTAATTTTATCGAGGTAGATTGAATTTTAAATTAACCAGATTTTCACTGAGAGTAGTGTCGGGATTTATTTAGATCTAAGTCCTACTTCCTATGAGTGCAAGCCCTCACAGTTAATTAATCCTCCTAACGCATAGAAGAGCACACTTGATTAAAGATGAAATTATATTGGGAAATTTACATACATACCACTATATATTTATTATTTTACATATTTAACACCTAATACATTAATATTACACATATACCACTCAAATTCCTAATTTATATCGTTTCTACCACTTCATGTAACGCCTACCTCACGACGTTTTCTGCCATTTTGTTGGACGCGATTCTGAGATAGTTAGTTAGGGCAGAATTGAACAGGAGTCAGAGCACGCAAAAGAGGAGGAAGGTAAGTTCTCATGCATTCTCTCATTTTTGTCCGAATCTGAGCTCGCAAAAGGGGACGCGAATATGAGATAGTCAGTTAGGGTATTCATGATGCATTCTCTCAATTTTTTAAAAATGATTTGTTTGCTCAAAGACTAGCTTCTTGTCCGAAACCTACCTGGTGTTAGCCGGACCTCCTTCAGGTTTTCCGGTCTTCATTCTAAGTTGTATGAATATGGTGGATAGGTTTGTCCGTCTTCATTCTAAGGTTTGTCGGTATTCATTCTAAGGTGTATGAATCTGCTGGACTGTATCTTCAAATATTGCCACACCTTGTTCAGCTTTTCCTAGGAAAGTTCTTTGGCAGACTTCAAAATGATTTTGTAGCTAGTAACGAAGATACCGTAGTGATGAATCTGCTGCTATTTGCTAAACATCCAGATTTTTTATAAATATCCAGATTTTTATAAACTTTTTATAATTACAGATTTATGAAAATTTCTTTCTTATTAATGTATAAATTGTTATTTGCTTATATATAAATCTGTTGCTATTGTGCATATTTTCAGGTTTTGCAAACGTTTTAATGAGTTATTCGAGTTCATCCGTTGTGAAAAAAAGGCCGCAACATTCTAAGTTTAAAAATAAGGGCATGATTCTCTATTAAAAAAAAAAAGGGAATACAGAAACTAGTGTCAACTTGTAATTAGATATCTAATGGCAACTTATAGCAGCCGTTAAGAAAATACGGTTTAGGATGTTTGATATCTAACAGCAACGTGTAGCAGCCAGGAGGCGGAAGGCAATACCGTGAGGTGCGAAGAAAATGGGGATCTAATGGCAACTTCTAGCAATTAGGACAATGCGATCAGGAGCTGTATCGGCCTCAGATGAAGGAAAATGGCGAGACGTCCGACAAAGGTTATTTGCGAGCTGTATCGGCAATGGGTATTTCGGCGGGAGTAAAGACGTCCGTCACAGGTGCGCTGGAAAATAGACATCGTGAGGTAGGCGTTACACAAAGTGGTAAAAATGATATAAATTAGAGATTTGAGTAGTATATGTGTAATATTAATGTATGAGGTGTTAAATATGTAAAATAATAAGTATATAGTAGTATGTATGTAAATTTCCCAATTATATTTAGTCTGTGCATGAAGTGTCGATATGTGTGCAAGAGTGTGATGTTCTAAACCCTGGTTGTGAGAGATGAAGGTAAAATTATAGCTCTATTTAGAAGTTGCTCGTAGTTTTAGATTTGGATTGGGTCGTATATCCCCCTTTAGGAGTTGTCCGTAATGATTGGAGTTGGGTCATGGTTTACTGCTTTCATTGGAAAGTAGCCCTAATAGTGGGTCATATGGCCTCTATTAGAGGTGGCTCATAATTTTGAGTGTTCATATAGGTCTTATGGCTTCTGAATTTAGAAGTTTCATGACGACAAGTCTTCTTACGATCTAGCCCCGTAAGCTAAATGGTCCGTATAGTGGATCTTACAAACTAAACCCTATATACTAGCATGCCCGTTAGAGGGGTCTAGGGTTATGTTGCTACCTAGATATTTTCCCTAAAAGTCAGACTTAAGACTTCTATTAGAAGTGATCGGGGTTAGGGGTTTAGGGTTAGGTTAGTATTACCTAAAGATTTCCAGAAAGATCAATCTTACAACTTATATTAGAAGTTGTAGGGATGTTTCAAATGTCCATCACTTCACATAATATATTTGTTTAGTGAAATAGTCACTAGTATGATTCACTTTTTATATATATATAATGCTATTATCATTGGCCCATGCAGGTCTCGAACCAACTTGTAGGATTCACTACTTTCATTAGAAGCAACCTATAGGGTTTAATTTAGTGAGGACATAGCTTTACACATTTCATTGTTTTGACACCAGTGTCAGCTTCTTATTTGCCAGCTTTGTTTAAATACTAGCCTCTAGTAGTTGTTTTGACACTTACTAGTTAGCAGTTATTGTTTTGTGCTCGTAATAGTACTTGTAGCTTTACTTTTTTCAGTATTAATTTTATTTATTATGCACATTTTTGTTTACTTGTTTGCAGTTATATTGCACATGCAGTAGCTTGGAGAGCTCACAAGTGGTTGCAGTTGTTTGCTACTGAGAGCTTGAGAGTGTGTTGAGTGCTTTGAGAGTTTTTGTGTCCGAGGGTTTGTTTTGCTCAAAGAGTTAGTGAGCTACATGTAATGCTTTGTTTGGTGAGTTGCTTGTTTGTACTTAGGTTGGATAGTGGAAACATTCATTTCTTGTTCTTTTTGTTTTCTATTTTATTTTGATTTAATTAAATGCATTAATTAATTAAGTTGATTAATTAAAAGTTAAATTTTAATTAAAATTTAATCGTTCAGTTTGTTAGTTTAGATTTTTAAATGTTAGATGTATTTTAAATTATTGATTTTTAATTTAATTATGTCCTTAATTAAATTAGATTGCTCAATAGTTTTAATTAGTATAAAAGTTTTAAATTTAATTAAATGTTTCATTAATTAAATATTATTTAATTAGATTTAAATTTTAATCTTGCATTAACTGATCGATTTTAAAATTCAAATTTCCTCTTATTCAAATTATTTAAGTTGAAAATTTAAATTTAATTAGTTGATCTGGTTATTTAAGTGATTTTTTAAAATTAATTAATGTTGATTAATTAAAGCTTCTGCTTTGATTTTAGCTTTGAGTTAAATTTTAAGTTATGAATTAAACTTCAGATTGATTGCCTTTACCTTAAATGGTTTCATTATTCAATTAAATGAGACTTCAATCTAATTTAATTAACTTAATGAAATAATTAGTTTAATCAAGTTAAAGTTTAAATTATTTAGATTAGGTTAATTAATTGATTAATTTATTAATTAAAGATTACTCTGCTTAATCAAATCCATTAAGAGTTTTAGTTTTAAATTTATTATTAATTAACTTGGAATTAGTTGGTAAATTAATCATTTAGATTATCTGCCCATTTAAGTTAATTAACATGATAGGTTATTTAATTGATCAAGTGATTAAATGATGTTTTACTTAGTTAATTAAATAGTAGGCTCATCAATTACTGAATAAATATTACTTAATTAATTGAATTGATCAATTAATTATTAAATTGCTAAATGAAATATTCTCCAATTGTCCAAACAAATCCAGAAAATTTTTAGGAAAATTTCGACAACCTCTCAACAGTCCCTCCCTGTGAGGGGAGGTAAGGGAGGGCACTTGCCTTTCAAACCCGCCCAACCGAAAATTATTCAACGGCCAAGGGCTTCGGGACTTTGTTTGGTCCCAGTAATTATCTTTGATTGCTTCGATTGCTGATCGCGACGATTGCAGAATTTTCCTTTTCTTATTATTATTGTATAAGTATATATATATCTATTTATATTATTTAATAGTAATAAATAATAATAATAATAATCACAATCGTAATTATTATTAGTATTATTAGCATAATCTTCTCCCCTTTTCACTATTTGAAATCAAGAAACGAAGCTCTATGAGAGACGGATCGGAAGGATGAGGTCGGCTCGTACGTGCAAGACCGTAGGGGGGAGGGAGCAAGTGCAGCTCGCGGCTTCGATTCATGTGAAGGGAGGTTGTTTGAGGTGTCAAGCGGTGCAAGAGCAAGTGAGAGGAGGAGGTGGACCACCCTTGTGAGGTAGAACCGACGTGAGGAGACGGGACGGGCTCTGAAGTGGGCTTGAGAATCGAAAAACCGGGAGAGAAGTCATAGGCAGGGGGAGCGAACAGGCAACAAGGGTTGCAATCGAGTTCGATCTTGTGTGCGGCACAAGGAAGAAGCCGGGAGAACCAAACCTTCCGATTGCCAGTAAGTTCGTATGAACCTTGTTTGTTCGTTTCTTTTGCCCTGTTATACGAGTTTTAGCCAACTGTTAGGTCATGGAAACGTGCGATGGTGAGAACTAACGTGGGTAGTGGTTTGGTGGCTGTAGGTTTACAGGTCAACATGATGTTAGAAATTCTTATCAATGTTTGCATCATGTAGGATCAGATGATAAGGAAGATACTTATAAAGTGTTTTAAAGTTGGACAATTGTTTACCCTACATCATTCCATTTATCAGGTTATCTCACTATTATGTACTACAATAAATTAAAAGGATGGCCTATGGTACAAACAATTAGATCACCTAAATTATATTATTCTATCTACCATAACTAAAACATCATGAATCCTCTTTACACATGTAGGTACCTTCGAGAATGTGAACAAAGGTGGTGATGGTGGTCATTAGCTCATACCACAAGATGTTAAGATTAACTCCCACAAAGAGCACAACCCTAGTGTTTAGTTTTCATCTTTGAGTTTAACAGACTGACTGTGAAAAGTCAGAGGAAGGTAAGGATGATGTCAAATAATCATGCCCCTTGCGCACAAGATGACACGCACTGCAATGGTCAGGATAAAGGGTCACAACCCCGTAAGGGTGAGCTAACTACAAAACCTATCCTCAATTGACTCAAAATTGGGAAAAGCAAGTCTTTCATTTCCCATCAAATGGTAGCCATAATGAAAACTATTTTGCCATGATTCATTATGATATATGGGATATTACTATATCACATCAAATTATAAATACATTGTAACATTCATTGATGATAGCATCAAGTATACATAGATGTATTTTCTTCATAAAAAATCTAAAATACCAGTTGTTTTTAAAATTTTGTAGCCCATGTTGAAACTCATCTCTCATCCCACATCAAAGAACTACGATATGACACTATGGATGAATATCTCACTTAAATTTCATAACTTCATTTGAAAAAGGGAATTGTTTCTCAGTGAACATTTCTCTACACACCTCAATAAAATTGTATTGTTGAACATAAGGATCAATCTCATGAAGTTTGACTCTCCCTATTATCATCCTTTTCAGAAGCATCTCAACTAACATAATATGCATGCATTTTTTGTTGTGTTTGTTTTATTCATATACTAGCTCATAAAAGTTATAAGCTCTCAGCTCAATCTATTTAATGTGTATTTAAGGGTTATAGTACTTCTCACAAAATCTGTCTATTCTGAAACATGCTCCAAAAGATTTTTCTCTAATCACATATGATCCTTTGAACATTATGTTTTTTTCTCTACTCATGTTGAACCTCTACCAGAGCTATATGTTATTCCTAATTTTGGTGAATTAAATTCTAGTCCTAAATTATTCAAGCTTCAATTTGTATACAAAATAGTATACAATTTTACCACTTCTCGAGCCAAATCCACCTTCTAAGCCTATGCAAATTGATCCACCCAATGAGCTTACTAGTTAGCATTAGATCACTACTCCTATACAATCTTCTAGAATCTCTCATCCTCTAAATTGGTATGGCTTTCCCCCTATACTGACCTTGATTCCTATTCCTTAGTGTTATTCAAAGGCTAGAAAATATGATTGTTGGAAGAAAGCTATCATTGAATAACATCGAGCTTTTGAGGATAACCTGAATGGGAGATTGTTAATTGTCCTCCAAATGTTAAGTGGTTGCAAATGGATTTACTCGATCAAGCTTCACCCTGATGGAACTCTAGACCTTTGTAAGGCACATTTAATCGCCCTCCGTAACAAACAAAAATATGGGTTGACTATGAAGAAAATTACTCAGGTAGCTAAAATGACTATAGTACACAGGATTATCTCATATGTTACTTCACAAGGATGGCTACTCCAGCAAATAGACGTTAAAAATGCATTTCTCATGGTGATCTCTATGAATATATTTACGCAGTTCTTCAGTAACCTAAAAAGCACTTTACATGATTTGAAACAAATCACTCGTGCATGATTCAATAAATTTTGATCAACCCTACTTATTTTCTCTTTTAAACAAAGCCAATATGACTAATCATTATTGTTTTGCAAGACACGTATTAGTATTGCTCCTGATTTATGTGGAATATATCATTTTTATTGTGGTAAATTTGAATCGGATTAGTCATCTACAATAACATCTTCTTAACACATTTCATATGAAGAATCTTAGTGCTCTCACTTTTTAGCTTTTAAAGTTCATACCAATCCCTTTGGCATTTTTCTGAACCAGCATAAGTACACACATGATCTAACTTATTTAATTGATCTCCAAAATACCTCCCTTAGTATATTCCACTAGAAGTAAACAAAATACTGTAGTAAGGAAGGTGATATTCTCCTTGATCCCACTATATTTGACAAATGATATGCAACTTAAATTATTTGACAATTGCTCAAAGAGATATTTCTTTTGCGATTCAACAAGTTCAAACGTTTATCCAAACTCTTTGTCATTTACATTTACGTATATTCGTTAAATCATTTAATATCTTATTAGGATATTGTGCCGGGGTTTATTCTTTCCAACCAATGCTTCTCTTCTTCATCTTTGACATATAGTGATATTGATTGGGTCACATGCTCAGATATCTGACATTCAATCATATGCTGATACATGTTTCTTGGAAAATCTTTAATATCATTGAAGAGTAAAAAGCAACATCAAGTGTCTAAATCATCGATTGAGTTCAGATACCATAAGATGTTTATCATATGTTTAAGCTCTCTCCTCTTTATGCCAAAAATACCAACAGCATTCAAATTGTTGTTAATCATCTTTATCATGACTGCACAAAATATATTGAAGTTAATTATCACTCAAATTTTGAAATCCTTCAACGATCAAATTATTTCTTCCTCACATTTCTACAAAGCTTCAAAAGGCAAATATATTTACAAAGGCCATGACAACCTGCAATGCTTTATGGTGCCGAATGTTGGCAATTAAAAGAGAATCATAATACTAAGTTAAGTGTTGCAGAGATGATGATGCTCAGGTGGATGAGTGGCTTTAACCTTAGAGATAGGATACGAAATGAGTATATACGTGAAAAGGTTGGAGTAGCTCCATTAGAAGATAAGATTAGAGAGAGTCGCCTTAGATGGTTTGGTCACATAAAATGGCGGCCTTCCGATGACCCGGTTAGGAGAGTAGAGGTATTAGATTTGACTTATGTTAAAGACTTATGTTAAGAAAGGTAGAAGCAGACCTAAAAAGACTTGGTTAGAAAATATTAGGAATGATCTTTCTTTATTAGATTTAAACGAGAATTTGACTTTTAATAGGACACAATGGAGAAAAAGGATTCATGTAGCCGACCCCATGTAGTGGGATAAAGGCTTGATGATGATGTTGTTGTTGTGTTTTTATATATCAATTGTAGAAAAGATATCTTGCTACACTATGAACTATAGTGTGTGCTATTTTACACAATTAACAAATATTAGTGCAATCAATTCTTATAAAATATATCTCAAAAAAGAACAGAGAGTATCATAAGAAAATTTTCCATAGTAAACATTAAAAAAGTGAAACTTAGAGAGCGGAAAAATTACCATTCCAAGATGATACATTGTATTTGCATAGTCCGTGTGACCAAATCCTAGAACACGTCCCTCTATCTACACAAATTATATGAAAATGATTGACCAGAAGCGCAAATAAGACAGTCAAAAATGATTTTCAGTCAAAAGAGGAGAAAGGAAAATAGGATACAGAATCTGTAGAAATTCCCCAAAAATAGTACCTTTAATGCCCTCTGCAAAAAAGAAAGAGCCTGTCAGTGGTTAGTTGATGATATAAACGGATGCAAACAAGCACATATGGCATGAAAACATTGGAGAGAAAAAGAATCAATTTATCCTGTATTTTCAGATTCCCATATACTACGACTAGGATAATTTTAGAGGAGCAAGAATATCTTAACATGCTTCGTATAGCCTTCACACAAAGCAGAGTATTAAATTTAAATTATTTATTATGTTTTCAATGAATTGCTTTACATCAGAATATTTGTAGAATCTTACTCTGCTCTTATATATATGTGAGAGCGAGAGAGAGAGAGAGAGAGAGATTAACACAGTTGTAAAAGCCCCATTCATTAAAGCCACACCTATGGCTAGGTAGAAGTTCTACTGCAGTTTGGTTAAGGTCCAGAATATTCCAGTAGATGGAGGGATTGCCCTTATACAAGTCAGGCTGAAAGGAAGAAAAGGTCTGGAAAAGGTATGAGCAACAAGAGGCATCCCAAGCTTGACAAAAGGGCTGTGATTGACGCTAAAAACAATAACAGATGAGCCAGCGGATTTTGGCTAAAGGAAATAGAAAACAGATCAAAACTGGAAATACAGATCATGGAATAAGGGTATGGCATTATGATGCTGGCTGAAAACCATCTTATTTTCTCTTCTTCCTAATAATAAAACCCTCTAAAGATTTCGAAGTATTTGAAGCAAAACAAAAAGGCCTTTGAAGTATTGAGGAAGAGGCTGCAGAATCGGCTTACAAAGCAAGACAATGCACAGTCAAAAACCAAAGTCGAGACAGGAGCTGCATTTGCAAAAAAGCCCAGAGCATCGTTGCCTTCAAAAACGTTTTATTTGAGGCTTTCGAAAGGGTATTAGTTTGGTGGATCACAAGATTGGGGCTAATATTGAGGGATTATCCCTAGGCAAAATGCCTGAGGACTCATTCTCTGATCTAGAATATGCATGAAGAGTGAGCTGACAAAGCAGGTCTCTAGTGATGATGAATATATGAACATCATGTAGGTGTCTAGTATTTCTGTTGTTGCATTGTGACATTCTCTTATGCAATGAAAATGTGATAGATTTGTCATGCTCTCCTTGCATATATCTCTAAAAAGATCATTTGGTCATTTTTTTAGTACATGCTTTCTATTAATTTTCATGCATGTGTGCGTCATTGTACAATTTTGGTTGAGTTCTCTAATAGCAACGTCAAAAGAGAGTCTATTGCCCCTTAGAATAGGAAACTATGTGTAAGACACTGCTAAGATGACTTTATCAAATGTCAATCTAGTTGAGAGTCCCCTTACCCAAGTGTTATAGTGGCTACGAGCCATGCAACAACGTATCACTTAGATTTGTGATTATGATTTAACAAAAATTCCCAAACTATTAGCCAAAGTTTCTCTCAAAATAGTCCATTGAGATGAGGTAACTTCCCTAAGGTATTTAGAACTACCATAGGCAATCAGCATGGGACATCTAACCATAAACTTAACCCTCAGTAGGAAAGTTTGAGAAAAATCCATCATAAATTTTTGTGATATCCTTAGATTATTTGTTGGAGGCTAAATTCTAATGAGGTAGATTGAATTGTAGATAAAACATTATCCAGAGATTTCATCCTCATTTTAAAAGGACTTTAAGATCTAGTTCGAGGTTTCTAATAGGCACAAGCCCCTATGATTAATTACCCCTCTCGATAACAAAAGAAAACTTTAGATTAAAGTTGGCCTATGGAGCTAAATGCTTAAAGTACATTATCAACAATTTAAGTTTAAGAATTAAGAAAATTTACCACATTTAGCTTAAAGCGAATGATGAAAAATTCAATCAAGGTCCCATAGTTTTATCATCCTGAGTTGTTATGGACCTTAGTCTACCTAATCAATAGAAATAGTCAACCCAACATGATCGAATGATCTTTATCAGTAGTCATGAGTTACATGTCCAATAGAATATTGTATACTTGAGCTAAAAGATTATTTGAGAGGACAATTTCAACTCAACATTAGCTAGCATAGAACTTTATACCCTATCAAGTGCACCCTACAATTCACCACTCAACGGTTTAAGTCATTTGGGAACTTAGGGGAGCTAGCCATGATCAAAATTTAATGGTACAGTTTTACAATGAAATCACCAGATCAGAGGACCCCAGTTATAATTGTTATTTAATAATATCATTTAGTGGCACAATCACCCGATTAGAGGGCATGTGCCATATACTTCTAGGCATAAAATCATTTAATAGTGATTTAGCAATATAATTGATATGACAATCGCTCTTTGTGAGTAGAGGTCAAATTTAAATTTGCATTCCTTAGCAAACTGTTGTGAATCATGGATGATTTTATTGCTTTATGTTTTAAGGAGTATATTTCACCAAGTATTTTTATAGGTTATTATTATTATTATTATTATTATTATTTTAGATTTAAGCCCAAAGTGACTTGTGTTGCGGTTCGAAGACATTTTGAAAATATATTCCTATCTGATTGGGATTGTTTTTGTCAATATAGCCATCATCCAGGTATTTTGTTCGAACTTGATCACTTTGAACCTCACCAACTATCTCCTCACTTATAGAGAATTAGGTTCAAATTATAACTATAGGTTTCTCAAAGAAGGGTTAATTTGATTCCAATTTATTTTTAGTCCATGCAATGTTCTCAGATTTCCTAAGTTTATGCATTCAACAAATTTTTCAAAACGCATGCGAATAAAATTACTTCTAGTGATTTGATGCATCCTACACATCTTTTTGAAAAGTTTCACGACACAAGAGCAGGTTACTTTTGTTCTATTTGAAGAAGAAAATCAAATTCACGTGAATGCACATCATAGGGACTACTATGGCAGTCATTCATGGAAGCATACTGTCATTCACAACGTGCAAGTTGCTTCAGTAACTGATGTTCATGTCATTTAAAAAAATAGAAAAACCCAAGTAGACCTCACAGAAGAATCATTCTTCCATTAATAAATAAGAATCCGCCTGAGTTTATTTTTATTTCAAGTTAAATTCACCATGTACTCTTGAAACTTCTAAGCGCTCAAGATGGTTCTTAATGGAATCAAAAAGTTCTATTCTCATAGGCAAGCTTTCAAACTCATTAGAAGTTCCATAAAAATCTAGTTGAAGTCTCATTTTGATCTTTATTCTAATTCTCATCAATTCTTTTGACACAAGTTATATGTCTTTTGAGTGTTCATTTGTTGCTATTTAACAATTTTGCTTTTTTTTAGTCATGTTCAAGTTCATTAAGTTATTTGTGTTTTTGTTGCTTCTGAGCAACATCGCTGAAAATTTCAACAATATCCCAATGTCACCCAAAGTAGAGGGCATTAGGGGAAATATTAGGCTAGCTCCCCACGCCAAAGGCGAGTATGGGAGGAAAAAGTAAGACAACCTAGTTTTCTACGCCATCATGCCAAGAAAGGCGCATATGGCTCTTCGTAGTAGCACAAAAATTTTTGAGAATAAGATTTCTCTGTTACACTAAGAAAGATGAGCACATGTGCTTCTTTTTTGCGGCAAGAGAGAGGAAGAGATAAGAGGGAAGGGAGAGAGTTAGAGAGAAAGAAAGAGGGAGTTTAGAAAGAATGAGAGTGGGAGTGAGAAGAAGAGAAAGAAATGAGATGGAGAATAGTGCCAGTTTATTGGTAGAGAAGACAATCAATAATATGGGTTTCCATCTTAATTGTTTCTTATATCCTATAAATTATAGCATCATTCATTTTGCGAAACATGCAGTGAACGAATTTTAGTATCAATCGAGGCATTTCAAAGTAATTTTTTGCAACATCGCATCCGTCGCTCATCATTTTTATCATATTCGATTGGATAGGCTTCCGAACAATTGTAAAGGGTCAATACAGATTTTTATTTATCTTAGGTTGTCCCTCAAAATGTTATTTATTAAATTAAACCTATAGAGAAAGGGGTCAAGATAAATCCATCAACAGTTTTTTACTTCAACAATGCTTGTCAAAATATTACTAAGTGATTTAACATGTAGCAAGAGAATCAAATCAACCAATAATCAATTGTACTTTGATCGAGATTGCAATAGCTGGAACATGTTACTTGAATCAAAGATAATGATTGATATGTCTACCTAAGGGAGAGAGAGCCCACAAAACATTACAACTCGAACAAAATTTTGGGAAAGTAAAATGAAGTTTTTTATTAATGTGGAAATTAGGTAACAATAATGTTTTATCACAATTACTTCTAAAAAGATTTGAAAGCCACTAATGAGAAAAGCTTGAATTATTGATAGTATCTGTGAAGGTTCTGCATTCCAAGTTTGGGGTAGTGCCTTTCCTTCAGAATTTTAAGCTAAGTGTTCTAAGTTAAGACCATGGTTGTAATCACTTAAGGACCTTCCCAAAGAGGTGAGAGTTTGTTATGTTAGGGTCCATTCCTAACAACTTTGAGACTTAGCAAACTAGGTCTCCAACAAAGTTGGATTGGGATTTTATCATTCGATTGATGTGGTAGATAACCCTCTAATAATAAGAGGTTGTTCTGAAAGATCATGTCATTTATTCCTAAGAGAAGATTAAAATTGTAACAAAGCTTATATTCATTTTTTTCTTAGATTAAAGGCTTGAATCCCGGGGCTCAGAACTCCAATGATGACTAAAATGATAACCACTATGCCAATAAATAAATAAATAAAAGGAGTCTTACCTACAGGATTTCACAAGATGGTTATAGTAGCAATGGTACTATAGCAATTAATGTAGCAAAATCACTGCATTACAGATATCCTTCAGGCAGCTTAGCTTTGGCGGTAGAATTAAAAAGAAAATATTAACTGAAATACATAAATACACCTATAAATACTATCTAAGCCTACCCTAATCCCCATACCAACTCATTTGAAGCAAGAGCGGCAGAAAACAGCAAGTTGAAGACCTGAATCAAGTGCTGTAGCAAGCAACATAAAGGCCAGGAAGGCGTCAAGCTGACGACGAAAAGCCAAATGAAAATGAAAGAAAA